TCTGTGAAGAAAAAAATAATGTTAGAGGAGTGATCAGTTTGTCACTTTGGGGAAAATAGGTGCAGGGTTTTAGGCTTTAAAAAATGAAACAGTAGGAAAAGTTATTTAAACAGATATCTGCTATGTCTATGAAATCGCAATTTTTTTTTTTTAATTCATTTCCAGTGTTGATTAAAGTCTCAATTCATGCCTTTTATAGACACTAAGGGAGATCATTCCATTGCATTCAGTAAACTTTCTAACCAGTCTTATGATGTCTCTGCTGCAATGGAAGTACACAGAATGCTGTAATTCAGATTTTAAAAGAAGTTATTGAGTTTCCAAAGGAAAAATAAAATAAATTAAAAAAAAATTAAATGCACATATCAAGAATATGATATTGTCAAGACAGAATATTAAATCAGTATACACAGATTTATATGTATATATAAAGATAAAAAATATAGATATAAGGATTGAGATACAAATAATCTCTCAAATTAAGAAAAGATATTTAAAAGCAGTTCTGAGATTTTTCTTGATTATAGCTAAATTTGGGGAAAATCATCAAACTGAAAATATGTCAGACAAAAATAATGCAGTAAGATGATACAGAAGTATATAAGTCATTTTGTTGACTGTAAACATTTTTAAGTGGGAAATTCTGGTGATATGTTCTTGGAAGAAAAAAAAGAAAAAGGAACAAAGTAATAAACTTTTATTAAGTAGGAAAGTTCTGTTGTGTTCTACAAGTCAGGAAAGTAACTTAAGCTGCTTAAAGCTGCTTAAAAATAGTCACAGACTTCTACAATGCAATTTATCCCAGAAGACTCAAAGATTTGCATGTCACTAATCAGACTGCAGCTGATAACTAACTAATTTTCTTAGACTATAGAAACTTTCCTATAGTGTATTTTGCCATTGATAATTTTACTGAATGAACTTCATTCCCATGCAGAGGACTTTTCCAAAGCTCATGGAAAAAAAACTTAAAACTTGCTCTGGAAAAAATTTAAGCATCTGATTATTTTTACAAGACTAAGAATCTCGCTTAATATTTAGCAGACTTGCTGATAAGTATAAAGTTAAATGTTCATAAATGTTTTGTGACACTTCTGGACTGAAATATGGGGAAAATCTATGCTCTAACCCTGCGATGACGTTCTGTCATATGTTTTTATGGAATTCTTTTTGCTGGAGTTTTTAGTCATTGTCCCACGTCTGTCACTGCACACACTTTCACCCCTCACTGCAAGAAAGACATTGAGGCCCTGGAGTAGGTTCAAAGAAGAGCAACAAAGCTGGTGCAGAATCTGGAGCACAGGCCTTTTGAGGAGCAGCTGAAGGAGCTGGGATTGTTCAGTCTGGAGAAGAGGAGGCTCAGGGGAGACCTTAATTCTCTCTATAACTATCTGGAGATAGGTTGCAGTGAGCTAGGAGTCGGCCTCTTCTCTCGTGCAACTGGTGATAGCATTAGAGAGAATGGCTTCAAGCTGAGCCAGGGAAGATGTAGTCTGGACATTAGGAAATACTACTTCTCTGAAAGAGTGGTCAGGCAGTGGAATGGACTGCCCAGGCAGGTGGTGGAGTCACCAACCCTGGAGGTGTTCAAGGAATGTTCGGATGTTGTGTTGAGGGACGTGGTTTAGTGAGAACTATTGGTGATAGGTGGATAGTTGGACTGGATGATCTTGTCTTTTCCAACCTTGGTGATTTTCTGATTCTGTGACTCTGTGAAAAGTCTGGCCCCATCCATTTGACTCTTTCATTTCAGATATTTACAAGCATTGATGAGATTGTCTCCCAGCCTCTTATTCTTCAGGCTGAAGAGTTCAAGTTCTCTCAGCTTTTCCTCATGTAGGAGATATTCCAGGCTTTGATCACCTTTGTGGCCATCCAATGGATGCTCTCTAGGAGATCCCTGTCTTGATTGTAATGAGGAACACTGAATTGGGCACAATATTCCAAGTATTCCGCAGCCTCAGAAGGGTATACTAGAGAGGGAGGATCACCTCCTTGTCCTGCTGACCATGCTCTTTCTTCTGTACCACTGGATACCATTGGCCTTCTGGGTCATAAAGGTACACTAGAAGGGAGAGGGGGAAAGAAAGGGAAATAAAAGGGTATTTTAGTGAGAGGAGAAGAGAAGGAATAAAAACACTGAGCTGTTACAAATCCAAGCAATATTTTTTAAAACAGAAAAATGCCATTATTTGAGAGAGGAAAAGAACTACTGAAATATTAAATAAAAAGAGAGAGTAAAGACTGATGATTGCTATAAAGAAAAGATTACATCATTTTTACTGGAAGATCTTCATAAGAAGTAAACATCCAAAGGGCAAATTCTGATTGAACCTCTTCTGCAGCACAGGTCTCAGAGCAGAGTTGAATGAGTGCTTTGAGACTATTCTGACAAGTGGAACAGAAATTCTTGAAGAGCTAAGAGAATACTTCATTTATATTAATTATATTCTAGCTCCCCAGTACAGTAAATGCTATATCTACTGTTTGCACACTAGATATTTTATTTATGAAGTGGAAGAATACTTAATTTACTTTTCTTAAAATATAGCTTTGTACAGAAAAAAAAAAATTAATACACTTGTATTATTTACTGTTATGTTTTTGTTTTTTTATAAATGCATGCCTTAAATTGTAGCTCAGTGACATTCTTTGACCCACTACGTGTGACACTATCGTTGGTCACTTGTAGGTTACTAGATGATTGCCAAAGGAGCTAATCCATGTGCAATTTATGGTTTTTACCCTGTCAGATTCACTTTTACTATTTGTGTGTGCTAAATTACTCATTCATTGAAGTATTCCCATAATCTGGCTTTAAGATTACACATTGGAAGGTGTATTTGAGGATCACAGGTTTTTTTTTATTTATCTCTTTTGAACTTACTGATGAAAGAAACAGCTAGAGTAGTAAAATATGCTCTCAATTACATATTTCACTGGATAATCTGGACGCATTCAGTGAGAGCACAGATATTGCAATCAAATCAGCAGTCATATTAACATATTCTGAATATTCAAATATAGCCTTAACTTTTTGACTCTTCATTTTTGTACGAACTCAATGTCTCACCATTCTCTGAGGGAGTTTTTTTCTGGCAAGCAACCTGACGCAAAATTTCTATGATGAAAATTTTTATTGTTATATCATAAATGTGTTGTTCATGCACCTTTTACAATCAAAAATATGCAAATTGGTAAATTATGTAATATCAAAGTCTGAATACCAGTTAACAATATTGTCCTCTTAAATATCTTTTAAGACAATAAGAAAAAGAGTAGTATTTTAGAGACATAAAAATTGATTCTCCTCAATATCTGTGAATCTGAAGTGGATCCAGAATCAGATAAAAATGAATGAAGAGTGAACTGAATTAGTTGAGCTGGGACTAGCACAAAAATTTCCAATAAAAATGAAACTACAAAGAGCCAAACAGTACAAAAAATTGTGTGATGATTACTGTGTCTCTTAGACCCTGGGGCATCTGCAGCACAGAGAGCACATGCTTGGATTCATTCCTCTTGATTATCTTCTTTCCATTTTCCTGTCTGGTGTTGGAGTCCCATAAAATAAGCTGAAATTGGCTTTAGCCATATCTCTTCTGTTCATTCTTATTCTTTGGCCAGCAATATGGGCAGAAAATGGGAGAAGGAAGCACTTCATATGTAGAATTTGCACATAGTTATTTCCTAACTAAGGGCAGAGTTCCAGCCTGAGGTCCAGGACACAATATATGTAAGTCAGCCTTCCCCCAACTGCTATACTATTGGGGAGTGAAAAAGCATAAAAGAAAGTCACTTCCAGTTCTCAGCACAGACTTTCAGCATTCACCAACTGGGTTTTCACAGCATGCCTCTGATTTCTAGAATTTAAAAAATATTGGTCTTCACTGAGGAAAATTGTGTACATCTACTTGCGTTTTTTTGTTTGTTTGTTTGTTTGTTTTTGTTTTTTTTTTGTTTTTTTTTGTTTTTTTTTGTAAAATGTGTGAAGAAGAGGAATCATTTAATCAAAGAATTTGATTGCTCATAACTTTGTCCAGTAACATCATGTCCCTGTACTCATATTATTTTGAGATTGACTGAGAACACAATAGAAAAGTGAGGATTGATAAATCTTATGTTGTGGAAAATAAACTCAAAGATTTCTAACCAGCACAAACTCTTATCTGCACTATTTCAAAACAAAAACAAAAGCAAAAGCAAAAAAAATGTTCCTAAAGTCCTTTCCCTTTATTTATTTACCAATATTATGGGAATCATTCTGAAAATATTTTCAATTAAATGAAGAAAAGAATACTGATTTTTATACTTTGAAATTCTATTCAGAACAGGAGTGTAAACTGAAGAGATTCTGTCTCTGTCTCTTGATCATGATGATGGATGTTTTGTCATTTGGAAGCCAATATGTCTGCTTAATAGAAAGAATCTGCACCTTTTAAGTGAAATTCATCCTTCAGGGCTGCCTCCACAACTCTCAGAAGGAGTGTCTGTTTTTCACTACCTTCAATGAATACTTGATTGGATTCTCTACTCTGTGTCTAATTTTATGTTTGATTTTTCTCAACTTAGATTTGAACTCAACTGTGTATATTGATTACACACAAAGAACAAGTATGATGCAGAGTAATTTTAAGTATCAAATGCACAGAAAATATTTGTTTTCCTACAGACTATGAAATTCAGTATCCATATCTCCATAACGAAAAAGATTGGATATACATATATATGTTAAAGACGTAACCAGAATCACAGTCTTTTGTATTGCTCTGAGTTACTATTACACAGATTGAAAACAAAGGAAGTATATTTCAATCTAAGTTGAAGCATAATCTTTGCTGATTTGGATTAGTTCTTCAACATACAGATTTTTTCCTACAGTTGGAGTCAAAAATCAGAAAAATGAATCTTACTTGTGATATTTTTTTTAATTTTAATTCCTTAATAAATGAATTTGCAATGCATTTTATGATGTTTCATTTTCTCCTATTTTTCCTTAGGTGAGAAAATTGGTGGACAGTGGCAAAATCAACTAAGACTCGAAGTAAGATATCACAGTGGTTATTGTTAGAGTACTTATTTATGTGGAAGGAATTATTTTGGATTGGATGTTTTCACATATTTAAACACAGACTTCCTTCTGCTTGGTAGTATTTAGAATGCCCTGAAAAGTGTATCCCTGTTGAAATTCAGGAATGTTCTTCTAGATGAGAAATAGAGCATACTGTTTGGATTAGTAGAGTTTGTAATAAAATCTTGTATGCAAGTCCTAAGGGGGAGAAATGAGAGCATAGGTGAGATTTTTTTGTCTTGGAAAAAGGGAAAGTCTTATTCCTAGAGTGTAACTGTCAAGGTGTGCTATAAATTATGTAGAAAATGTAGGGAATGAACTGGTTGAGTAACAGTATCAATGATAAAGTACACTTCTAGTGACTTTGTCTTCTACTATGCCTCACTCTAGCCTTTGTACAGTGAATGAATAAACACTGCACAAAATAAATGTGTGAAGTAAGACTGGAAGGCAATTCACTGATTCATATAAGAAGGCATTCTACTAGTTATACGCATCTGAAAAAAATCGATTTTTTTCAACCCATATTTCATAACGTAATCTGACTGTCAAACACATATGATATGCCTTCTTTTTTTGATGAATAAAGCAGTGTGTCCATTAACTTGACTGGGAAGCGGATCATTCCTTAATGAGAAAACAATATAGAGCTGGTAAAGCATTACAGAAAAATTATGGTTATTTTATAATGACAGCTTGGCAATTTATTGTATGTTCTATATAATGTAAAATCTGTAGTCTGTATGTTTGATGATTTACAGAACATTTGAGGTTGTTAATCATATTATAAAACAGCTAAATTTTTTAAGTATTCAAGCACGGTCTTCAAGTTTTATGCATTATGTTTAATATACTGATAGCAGAGGTGAAAAAGAGGACCAAAACTAATATCATATAGTTTTCTGAACATGTTAGCTATTTAGAGAAGTTAAACTGCTTCATTGTAGAGAAAGATAGAATTGTAAATTGATTGAAGGAATGGACAGTAAACTGCCAAATGAAATTTAGCATGCAATAATTGTGAAGAGATGCTCCCTGAGAAAAACAGTCCAAATGTTACAATAAGAGATTTTTACTTATCATTCAGAATTAGATTTGAGATTTTTCTCAGAGGTAAATACCACAATGGTGAAAAAGAGGAGCTGGGAAAAAAAAAAAAAAAAAAAAAAAGCATGATTGCAGTAATAAGAAAAATATTTTATAAAAAATGTCTATATATTTAGTGTTCTTCAATCTAGAAAAGAGATTATCTAAGGAAGTTCAGATAAAGCTCTATAAAATCATGTCTGCCCTGAGGAAAATCAGAAGGGAACTATAACTTATTTTTCTCTTCCAGTAAGAAAACTCAAGTCCAAAAACTGAAAGTGACAACTGCAAGGTTCAAAATAAATACAGCTTATAGCAAAGCTATGAAACTCGTGCAACAAGTTGATTTGGATACAGTATTATCATAATCTCAAGAGAAAACTAGAAGAAAAATGAAGAGAAAAAAATCCATAGGGCAGTAAATATACTATCTCCATCTTGAGAAAGTCCCTAAGGCGCAATTGTGTTGATTTATGCCCAGTAGTGGTAGTATTACTACACATTGTTCTTACTCTTTCCATAATTTTCATTAGCAGACACTCAGTATCCAAGAGACTATTGTGATACAAAGATCTGTGGCCATTTTTGCTCTTATGATATACTATGAATGATATGCTATCTATTGGAAGGTGATGTACAGAAATATAGCTAGTGAGTTGAAGAACTTACTGATCATATTCTTTAAAGCATCTCTAGATTATCGGTTTTTATTTAACTTCATATTTTATGTCACTGTACTGATTTTGGCTAACATAGTTTCTAGTTTTGAAACAGCTCATATGACTATGTACTCTAGACTTGTCAGAAAATTGCTGAGCAGTTCATTCACATAGTCAAGATATTTGTTCCCACTGAGCCTCTTCCAGTGATGGTTCACAAAAGGCTGAGAAGGATAACAGCCAGAACAGTTGACCCTAACTGACCAAAGGGTTATACTGTATCACATGTTCAGCAGTAACAACTGGGAGAAAAGTAGGGATAGGAAGGAACTTAAAGAATTACAGCATTTGTCTTCCTAAGTAACAGTTTTGCCTAATGGAGCCCTGTTTTCCTAGAAATGGCTAAACGTGCTGATGGGAGGTAGTGACTGAATTCCTTGATTTTCCTTTGCTTGAATACACAGCTTTTTCTTCCACAAGTAAATTGTCTTTATGTCAACTCACAAATTCTCTTATTTTTATCTTTCTCATTCTATCCTTATTATTGTATCATATTTAATACATAAAATGTTTTATATCAGCCTCAAGAGAGGTAGATATTCCAAGCCATAAGAAACATACATACATACATATATATATACTCATTATTACTATTATTATTATTATTATTATTATTATTATTATTATTATTATTCTCAGACTTTCATTGAATTCTCAGATTCTCATTGAATTTACTGTTCAGGTATTAGTAATCATTGTGGTGTATGAGCACAACAATAAGTGGTTAAATTATTAAAGATAAAAGAGAAAACTGACCTCACCCAAGAAAAAAACAACAAAAAAGTAACTTTTGGAATAATATAGAGCTTAAGAACCTGACAGAGAAAAAATGATAGTGACAGATTAATGGGAATAAGCCATTTAAATGAGATATCCCTCTGTGATCTGAATTCAGCTGATCATTTATTATTTGAATAGGAAGGTCATTCTTTGTTATCCTCTCTAATAATTACATTATACTGATTTGGTTTTTATGGGGAGATTCTTTATTTGTTTTGTTTTGTTTAGATTTAATTTGATTCCATGGGATGACATTACTATCAAATGTGTCAATATGAAAACATCAGATGAAATGAGAGTAGCTAATATTATCACAACTAGTTTTCACAACTAAGCTAATCTTCTGCTTGAATTCTATTCTTATTTTTCTATTTTCATTGACCAGATACATTTCTGTTCTTTCTAACTTGAGCACACATCACTATACTCTTGGACAAGATCTGTAAGAAGGCTGTATTTACCTGCAAGAAGTGATAGTTAATAATGTCAAACTTGATTAGTTCAAGGCATTATTTTAAATTTTACCCTCCATCTCTCTCTCTCTTTCCTTACCTGTCTTTTTATGTTTCAAGTCAGCAAGAAACAGCAGAGACAAATCTGGAAGATAGTGTCTAAAGCAAATTAACTAATATATATTTAAAGTGGATTGTCATTGCTTGGAAACATTTATAACAGGAATCTAACTACTAAATAGTTTGCAGTACCAAGTATGACAACAAAGTTTTGCTGAAGGAAGATTCCCAGTGAAAGACGGTCTGTGGCTTCATATTAAAGGGAAACATATTTATAAATACTGTTTTACTTTGCAAGTAAGTTAAACAGCATTACTGAATTAACTTTGAACAAAACTTATGACAGTATAGTAAACTGAAATTAGGGGTCATGGTGACTGTGTGACAATTTTCTGCTTATTCCATAAAGCCCTCTGTTCCTTCTAGCAATAGTTCTTTATTCTCTGTGGCTGATTTTGAGAGCCTGCAATTTACTTATTATAGTAAAGTGCATATTATGTAGAAAGAGCTTATTATGGAGATCAAAGGACATCAAGATTTTTAAAGTGCAGCAACCTTTCTTGTATGACAGTCTTATGAGAGAAAAACAAAACAAAACAAAAACATACAGTGAGGGAACATTCAAAGTCTAAATTTTGGAGTGGATAGAGTAACCAATATGCATTATGAAAGCACTGACATTTCCAGTACAGATGATTTACTAAAAGTAGCTAAAATTTATCCAGTCTGTAACTAGCTATCTTTATTTCTTGAAATCTTATTCTCTGGTTATGCATTTTCAAAAACTGTAATATTTATGATGTCATTTATTTTCTGGAATACATCATGACAGAAACATCTCACATTTCTGCTGAAGTCAAAGAATGTTGATTGTGAGAATAATTGTTTTTTTTTTTTCTTGGTAGGCATTAAAATGTTCATAATTCTGTGATAGAAATGAGGCCACTTAAAACACTGAATTTTCATGAAAGACATAAATATTATAAAAATTGGTAGGCACATGCTACATTCTTCTTTCCTGTAGCCTAACACTAAATATTATGCTGAGGGTAGGATAAGAATTTTCTTCTGTCTGGTTGAGGTTTAGATGTACAATTATTTGCCTAAGTTTTATCGAGAGAGAAAATATGTATCAGATAAATATTATAGGAAATCTGGTCTACACATGAATTAGTAAACAAGGACAATGATTTAATAGAGATATTTTACTTGGGAAATTATTCTACTGTATCTAATTACTAAAATTCTGATTGTTCCAGAGCAACAGGATAAGGAAGGGAAAAAAAAAAAAAAAAAAAAAAAAGAAGGAAAAAAGAAGGGGAAGACTGTCAAAGCAGTGAGGGGAAGACAAGGAAGACAAGAAAAACAAAGCATCCACAATTTTCACCAATAATTTAAACATACACTATTTGGTTTTGAAAGTGAATGTAATAATAACAATTTCATTCTGCTAGCATTCTCAGTCATGAAAAGACATTATAAATGATGAAAATCATTTAGTAGTGTACAGATCAAGACAGAAATTCTCCAATAGTTTATTGAGTTCTTTGGAAACAGATTTCTGAGTCCTATTGTCATTTCATGCAGATTTACTTTAGTGCCACTAATTGGAATTCAGTCTCCAATAAAAGAAAAATATTTAAACATCAAATTTTTGATAATACAAAATTCTGCCATGTGTGTGAAATACAATTACCTCAATAAAATAAATAATTGAAAAAGTAGAATTGAGAGAATTATCCAAAGTTCCCATCAATGATAAATCATGATTTATAGCCATATTTCATCCGGTATATTCAGGGGATAACTGGGTTATTCAAGACAGTAAAACCTCACCAAGCAAGTATTAATAAAATAAATAACAAAGTCACGTTGA